AAAAAAAAAAGGGGGAACAGAGATGGAGAGACTGAAAGAGATGATACAGCGTCCAGCCTCAATGTCTGCTCCAGGAGGGATCCAGCTTCCTCTAGCTATCGATTCGTCCAGAGCCCCTCAATGATACAATGGACACGTTTGCGCTATTTCACCGATCCATTCATTAGCAGAAAGACACTCAGTCTTTTTCTTGGCGAGGACCATGGCAATCTGCAGACTACCCCTGTAGCACGGGTTGCAGTGCAGGGCTAAACCCTGGACATGACACCCGTCCTCCACAGGGCACACGTTCACAGGCAATTCAGAGACACTAATTAGCCAGCCATTGCGTCACTGGAAGGTGGAAAGCAAACCAGACCAGCTGGCAAAAAAAAAAACAAACAACTCAAGGCTCCCTTTACCATTACAAACAACTAAAAACTGCAAGCCAAGCGATCAGCTTGCTTTTATTTCCAGCTTTATTCTTCATTTCCCCAAATTGAACCAATCACTGCTTTTCTGCTCCAATTTAACCCTTTGTATAGGTCTCCAAGAAGGTGACAATTTAAAGAGACGTAACGCGTAACGTAACAATTTAAAGAGACGGAAGTGGACAAGAGCCACTTTCTGTTTTCAATCATCTCTGCTCAAAGTCAAGAGCAGCAAAGTGAACGATTATATTGTAATCGTTATATATTATAACGATTATATATTATATTGTATTATATAATTATATATATATACACACATTGATATATTATATATTATATCAATATTATATTGTTCAAGGACGCCGACTGCCCAGCTAGGAGTGGGCCGCAGCTTCCTGGGACTTGTCTTTGAGCGGACATGACTGATCAAGAACGGAAATGTGAGCCCCCCGAGGCTTGACCCACCAGCAGAGGGTTGTAGGCGGCACCCTTCCCATAACGCTGCTCATCCCGGAGGTACAGGGGGCGCTCCATCAGCCGCTCCAGCAGAGACACCCCCAGCCCGAAAGCGGAGGCCAGCCGGGACTTCACCACGGGGCCCAGCTGGCAGGGGTCACCCGCCAGAACGATCTGGGGACACGGAGAGGGTGAGGTCGGGACACAAGGGAGGCGGGCGGGTGTAGGTTCGAGAAGGTGGCACCCGCTCCCTAACCTGCCCGTCCCTTTCCGACAGCAGCCCGAGGGGGATCAGGATCTCCGGTTCGCTGGCTTGGCCTGCCTCGTCTATAAACACGTGAGTGAAGTGGCCCACCCTGAGGAAAAACAGAGTGAGGACACTCAGAATCCAGTTCGGGATACCGCTGATGAAAACTGCTTCATAAGTGTTTCATAAAAGAAAATCTTCTCCCTCCATCTCTTAGATCCAGCCTGCCTCTGAATGTCCCCTCTGACTCTCTTTCTTCACACATCTCTCTCTCTCTCTCTCCCTCCCTCCCTCCCTCTGTTGCCAGCAGCTATATCAACCCTTCAGCTCAAAGCTGGCAGCCCACTGAGGCTCAGCAGGTGTGAGCCTGGTCAGTACCTGGATGGGAGACTCCTGGGAAAGCTAAGGTTGTTGCTGCTTCACGAGGTGTTAGTGGGGCCAGCAGGGGGCGCTCCCCTCGTGGTCTGAACAGGTCCTAATGCCCCAGTATAGTGATGGGGACACTATACTGTAAAAAGAGGCTCCATCCTTCGGATGAGACATAAGGACAAAGTCCTGACTTTCATTAGGACCGCGGTCATTAAAATTCCCAGGGCGTTTCTTGAAAACTATAGGGATGTTTCCCTGGTGCCCTGCCCAAATTCCCAATTGGCCTTTACCAATCATGGCCTCCTAATAATCTCCATCTGTGAACTGGCTTCATCACTCTGTTCTCCTCCCCACTGAGAGCTGGTGTGTGGCAAGTGCACTGGTGCACTATGGCTGCTGCTGCATCATCCATGTGGGACTGCACATTGGTGGAGTTTGAAAGAGGTCCCCATTACCTTTAAAGTGCTTTGAGTGGAGTATCCAGGAAGTGAAAGGAATTATTAACCCACTGCCCAGCCCCCATCTGGAGAACTCTGCCAGCTACACCCCTCCGCCCCACAGTACCGCAGTCCTATCTGGTACAGCATGCCGGCGGACGAGCAGGTGGAGATCACCACACGGTGGAACGCAGCCTGACGCACATCCTCTCCGGCTCGGCAATAGGACCGCAACACCTCTGCGACAGACTGAGAGGGAGGAGGAGGATGTGGGCAGGAGCTTAGACATCTGAGGTTGCAAATATCTGCTGCTCCTGAGCAGAACGCAGAACGCAGACAGCAGGGTTAGGGTTAGCACAGAAGTACGGAAAAGATTCAAGCGTTTCGCACCCGCCTGGTTCCTACTGCTAGGAATAAAGCGATTCAGTTTGCAGATGTAGTTACCTCCTCTAGCCTGCAGGTGGCGTTGAGGCGCACCAGGCTGCCGCCCTGCAGGAAGCCGCTGTAGTGCAGTCGAGTGCAGAGCAGATCGGCTGCGCTGTTCGAGGGCGTGCACACCAACACCCTGCTGGAGGGGAGACGGTGATGAACCTGAACCGGGACAGAAGGAGAGGAGTCTAGAGCTCATGGATGGAGGACTGATTACAGGAAAAAACTGGGAACAAACTAAAAGTTTGAACGACTGGCCTAGGGGGGTAGGCGAGCCACTGTGTTAATCGTTTGAGTTTAGAGTCGCCATTAATTTAATACGCATCCACCCAATTTGAAATTGCCAATAACATCGTCACCCCTTGGCTCAAAGTGACAAGGTCTGTACAAACATGGGGAGAACCAAGACCGAGCACACAGGCTCTTCCAACCCAACCTTCTGACACACAACTCAGTCGGCAGCAGCACACAGGAGGTTCAGAGGCGGCCGAAGGACAAACGCGTGCATCACCGTCACCGCAGGCAACTGGCAAACACCTTGCACTACAGGCAAATGCGCTTTAACGAGAATAATTCCCTGACTTTATACAGCACCTTTCGTCTTGCAGGACCTCACAGTGCCTACATTCATGAGGGGGATCCACCACACGCACCACTGAAGGGAAACGGAGCTAATTAGAGCCAATTAAGCCAATACTGGATTCAATGATGAGGGGTTGACACCTCTACTCTTTCAAAAAGGACGCTCATCTTTAATGACCAAGTTATTGGTGGCATTCAAAGCTCTGTGCCTTCTACAGCACACTGTCCCTGGTCACCACAGGGGGGCATCGGAACCCCTCACCCAGAAGGATGAGTGCCACCTGAAGGATGGACCCAGTCACCACACTGGGGCATTGGGAATCCTACCAAACTCATCCACCAGCAGTGCAACCATCCCAACCAGGCTGGAACCCGCTTAGCGCCAGAGACCCGGCGAGATCAGGTTACAGGGTGTGAAAAGCTGCTGCTCTTACGGTTGAAATGCAACCCGGCCAGCCCGTACCTGGAGGATGGCCTCGATAAGCGTGATTGTCTTGCCAGTTCCCGGGGGGCCGAAGAGGATGTAAGGCATGGGGCGACACTCTCCCACCAGGATCCGCTTCACCGCCTCCCGTTGCTGGGGGTTCAAGGCCGGATTAAAGAAGCAGCCTGGGCTCGGCACTGGGCGAGACTGAGGACGGGAGTCTAGGAGAGAGGAAGAGAAGACCACCATCCGTGTGAACGTCTGCTTCCGCCCGCTTCAGAGCTACTGCACTGCTCCAGCGCTGTGTTGTGATGGGGCTGCAGATCGACCGAACTGTCATCACCAGAGACAGATTAAGGAAATCACAAAAGCCACAGGAAGCTCTGCTCCAACACATTAACAATCATCATAAAAACAATGACAATGATGCAAACATCCGCAAGTAATTTTAAAGTGCAGTACCACCAACACTGTGACACCATTCATAAAAGAACATGCTGGGAGGAAAAGAACAGAGACAACGTTTCGGCTGTAGATCCTTCTTCAGGTGTCAGAAAACTGAGTCTTTTCCTTTCAGCATGGAATAAACCTTTACCTGTTCATTTCCAGCCAACGCAGCTACCTACTTGAAAACAATTCATAAAAGACAGCTACAAGAGCACATATGTAACACAGTGCAGCCACTAGTCAGTTACTCAAACTGGGATTTTGCTAGTTTTCTGGCTTGTGTGTGTAAAGTTGCTTTACCTAGCTGCAGTGCCAGTGGATTCATTATAAAGTTTGCTAGTCTGAAGTGTCACACCCCAGAGGGGCTATCCACTTCATCACCCTGTCTGCCATACGCATTATCTTAAGAAGGAACTGTTTATTGCAGGGATTCATCCAAACCTTTCACATCTTTTTTCCCTTTCCCTACCCAAGCTTTCTCGTTCAATTCCTAGGCCAATCACCTCACCTAATTTCCATGCTTTGACTTAATTTACAGGCAAAGGTTAGTAGGCTCAGAATGGCTCTGAGCAAGTCTGCAAATGTACTGGTTTATCTGCTAAACCATGCAAAATGTTTTACAAAAAAGTTTAGTGTTGGCTATTCACACTTGTTAAAACATGAAATGCACATCTCTGTTGAGAAAACATGTTTGAAGTGATGTGTAAGTGGCTTGCAGTATATGCTTTGACTATGCCTGACAAAATTATAAAAAAAATGTATGTTCACCTTAAAAAGTTAAATGTAGTAAACTAGAGAAGCACTGTATAGTATATAATTTCCTTACAGGTAACTAGTGGTGAGGGAGAATGCACATTGATTTGACCTGCCATGTGGTATATGTTACCGTAGTACAGTGCTATCATTTCTGGTGAATGGCAGGGCCATCCCTCCCCAGACTGTCCCAGTAAGTGAGAGTGAACGTTAAGCACCTGTCTTTGTCTGAGTCGCCACGGAAACCATGTCCATGAGGAGCATCCTGACATCTCGTCCATCGCTCTGGGATGTCCCTTGGTCCTGGCAGAGAGAAAGATGAAGTAGGGAGGCCCTGGGAACTTCTCCAAATCCCTTCCTCTCCAGGTGCCCTGAAACCATCCTCCTTTTACGCCCACCACCACCACCACATCCCTTCACCTCCATGGAGGCCTGGCACTATCCCCCGCCTCACCCCCTGCGTGGCCTCTCTGCTTCCTACCTCCTCCTCCCAATCTTCATTCCACTGGGGGGGCTGGAGCACGACACTGCTGGGGAAAAGAACTGCAGAGCGAGAACAGTTGGAGGAAAAGGAGGAACGATATTCTGTGAAAACCATAGAACAAAACTTCCAACCTAAACTGGGGAGGGGGTCTTGATGCTGGTCTTCACACACCACCGCCCCTCCTGGTTTTCCTTTCAGGTGAAAAATACATCCTGTCCATCCCTTCCTTAAACGAGGGCTCTATAAACGAGGTCTGCTCCGAGACCTAGCAAGTGGTAGAGTTAGTGCTAATTTCTAACTCCACACTGTTTAAATAACTCCTAATAACGCAAACCATCAACAAATAAACCCACTTAATGAGCAAAAAAAAAGACATTACTTAGTGAAACTGTAGTGGTGTAAGGAGTAAGAAGTGGTTTGCCAAAGAAAGGAGGAAACCCACTCCAGTTTTTGTTCGCATTGCCTAGTTTCCACCACGTGCAAGTTTATTACATCTGCTTATTTATCCACAATGAATATTTCCATACGCGTTTGTAAAAGTGAAGAGTGAAGATGTGTCTGCTGCAGAACAGACTGAGCCGGGGAGATCAGCGAGGACGCTTCTCCAGAAGGCCCCTCTGTTAAAGCCGCGAGAGAAACGCCAGGCATGGGCATGAAGACACTGACCATCAGCGGCCATTTCACTTTCTCTCTGAAGCCCCAGGAGGCGTCACTGTGCAGGGAAAGGCCTGAACTCTGGGGTCTCGGGTGGATAATTCCCTCATCGTAATGTCTCACCTGTCTCCCCCAGGTGTCTGGACTGCTCCAGCGCACAATGACAGCGGCGCATTGTCAGCCTGGAAATAAACACGGGTTCATCACAAGGCACTGCTTGCGCACGGGACCCGAAGTTGGGCATGAACACGCACATGCTCGGGTCTTCCCCACCTCCTCTCGCCGGTCTGTTACCTGTTGAAGGTGAACTCGACATCCAGCGGCTCTCCCATGTAACTGCGCTGGAAATCGCTGTTCACCCTGAGAGTCAGCTCCTCCTCACTGATCTACAAGGCAATGCAGCTGGCTGAGAGGCCAGACTCCGTACAGGTTCACCACGGTATCAGAGATCACAGTTTACTGTATATGATCAGACCCCCCCCCCGTGCAATTTAAAATTAATTTTATTAATATTAAACATGGAAATGAGACTTGCGTTATGGATGGAAATCACAAGGTCTTGAACACACTTTTAATTTAACATCCATTAAATCAACATCAATTCAAAGCACACCATATTCCTTTTAATTTACTCAAATTGATTAAATAAACAGGATATTTCTGGTCTCTGCTCCCTAAATCTCAATTTCAAATATAATCACTATGATAAATGGAGCTGAAATAAGTTATGAATTAAGAGCATAACATACATTAAGTGGCCTCTAGACTAAATTTTGAATCAGCCACAATTGCAATAGCAAACTTTCCAGAACTGCTAATGTTTCAGTTTGATTGGTAAGCATCCAAAGGCGCTGTATAAATAAAATGTTTCATTTCAATGCCCGAGTGATGAACACAAATCTCAAATGAAAATCTCCGATGACAAACTTTTACAGCACCCCACAAAGCTTCTGAACAATTTGACCGAGGTTTTAAAGGAAAGAAATGCTAAAACAGTTCTTAAAGACTGATTAACATGGTACAGTTTTAAGGAAATTAGTACAGAGGAAAATAACTGAAAAAAATCACTCTGTATCAGGATCTACTGTATAAAAGCTGGTGTAATAACTAACAATTTGAAAGCTATTACAAGAATAATATTAATAGGTATTTAAACCTAACATGCCTCAAATTCTCAGATAACCAGAAATGATTATTGAAAGGAGACTAAATGCTTCTGCACTGCGTTTACAGTAACACAGATCCCGTTCTGATGGAAACCTCACAATCTTAAACCGACAAGCAGAAACGGTGGCGAGGCAGCCGCAGGAAGCCGAGAACGTGACCCTGACGTGACGTTGGCTAGACGTCAAAACTCGGCACCCCCCCTCTCCCCCCACCCCCCAGCTGTGTTCGTACCTCCGTGACGTAGGCAATGTACTCCACCTGGACCCCCCCGCTCAGCAGCTTCTTCAGCAGGACCTTGTCTCCTGCGGGGAGGCGGACACACAGCTCCCGTCACAGCGCGGCGGACACATCGGCCTCCGCCGCAGCCCGCCGCGTGCCTCCCTCCGCCCGCTACTCGCCTACGGTGACGCTGGGCCGCCCCTCGGCCACGCCGGGCACCTCCAGCTGCAGGTGATCGCCGCTCTTCCTGAGGATGGCGCCTCCGAGGCCGAACTCCTGCAGCTCCCTCTCCGCCTTCAGCTCCTCCAGCCACAGCAGGACCGAGAACCGCGGCTGCAGGGTCTCCACGGACAGGGGCTGGGGCGGGACATCGGAAAGCGTCACGCCCGGCGTCATGCTGCTGGCCGTTCCGTCTCCCCTTCTTTCCTTCCCCGGCTCTCCAGTCGAACACGATCTCTTCGCCCCAACGCTTTTTAATGGACACCTCAAACGGAAGACCTGTACCCCCCGTTCAGATTTTTACCCACCCCACCACAGGACGCGTCGGAAGCAAAGAGGAAGTCAAGGGGTTGATGGGAGTCTGAAACGGGCCGGCTGGTGAAAATTGGGGGGCGGCGAAGACGGAACGACAGACAGCGGACCCCCCCCAGCGGGGCACCGGGAGGACGGAGACAGACGGACAGACCGACGACCAGCGAGAAAAGGACGGATCCCCCACCTGCCCCAGCTCGGGGTGCGCCACCAGCACGTCGCCGCTCGCCCACACGCAGTCCCGCAGCCGCTGAGGCACCGGGTAGTGGCCCAGGAAACTGGGCAGGTGCCGCCTCAGGGTCCTGCGGGCAGACACAGCCGCGGGCGTGACTCGAAACGCAGCCAGTCGATGACCGTCACGCCTGAGCAGCGGTGAACAGCGGGCCATTCGGACGATTTCAGAAGGCACGTAAACTTTAAAGCTCAATTTCAAGGAAGAAAGCTTCAAGCGTGTTGAGACATACTGTATACTTATTCGATCCACCCAGTGGAGCTGCTGTTACTTTAACGGCACAAGACTTAATCCCGATTACCCGAACCAGGTCCCCTCACGGGGGACTCTAAGATTCACAAACTATAATGCTTTGCAAAACGGTCTTTTTTTGGGAGCAGGTTTTCAATACTTTTTATAGAATTACACTAGGTGATCATGTTTTTTCGAAGAATTTGAAAGGTATATAAAAAGCCAATTTCAAGGAGGACTGCATCAGGCACACAGAGATGTACGTCTATTATTTGGACACAGTTTAAAAGGCTCTCAACCGAAGTCAGACACCTTGGAGTGCTTCCATTTTCATGATTAGGACTACTAGAGAATAAACTGCTGCTCCCAGTGCATGATACCATTTAGTCTAATAACCTGCTTCAAGACGGCTGCCAGCAACCTCAAAGGGATTCGGAGGCACATTCTCTTTTAATAAGTTATTCACATGCTACAGTCCAGCACTGGACCACCATCTTCCTAACAAACGTTTGGGCTCCCAGGTGGCGAGGCTCAGCGCGGGAGGCAGGGTGCCGGACTCACCGCGACGGGGCAGGTCCAGGCAGGACAGTGAGGGTCTCGGCGCCCCTTGCTCTCAGCGCTGGCTGGGCAGGGCAATACGGCGACGCCGGCTGCAGCAGACTCTCCTCCACGCTGCCGACTCGGGCCTGCAGGCGCCTCTTGATGGTGAAACCGGGGAAGTGCAGCAGGAGGATCTCCGTACAGCGGCCCAGGCTCCTGGGAGGAGGAGGGCCCAGCGTCAACGCGCAACGCAGTACCGGGCCGGGACCCGGTCGGTTTCAAACCAGCACCCGGGTCTGGACGGTTCAGTTTCGAAAAACGGCAGATCGTCACGGGCAACTGGGCTCCAGGCAGCAGCGGCTTAGTTATTTCAAGGGGAAACTGGGGATTTCTAAATACCGCGATTTGTGAATTTCTTATTCAAAACGTCCGCCATCAGTAAGCATCATGTGAAAGGACACAAACATGAAAAAAGGACTGCCGACTTACTGAATCTTTACAAGTGCACGGATTAATTCTTTGAATGCTGGATGTGCAAATGCTAACCACATTCACCAGAAACTAGGAAAAATTGTCAAACATAGGATATAAAACTGACCACTTTCCATGCAACTCAGTCACAGTGATTAAATCACTTGAAACCCAAAACTTTCAACACATGCCAAGAGATGTTTTGAGGTCTTGAAGTATACTGCAGCCACTTGACTCTCCCTGCCGATGTGAATTCTCCCCAATATGATCAGTAGAGAAACTGGAAACTTTTAATTCTTAGTTTTTCCGAGTCATTAATGGCAGCTTTAATCTTCTGATACATAAAAAATATATATTTCTTATCCAATTACTGCAGTTAGAGTTAACAGTACAATATTCATCAAGAAAGGTGAAATTACTGGTTAACATTTGTCTTAAATACCTAAAATATTTGTATGCATTTCTTTCGGTTTAAGGAATAATTCGCCCTGTCCAGAGTGGTCTAGTTAGGACAACCCAACAGTCATCAGCAGGTTGTACTCCTGCACACAGAAGCTCTGAACCTCAGGGTCACAATCCTTGCTGTGCTCCCCAAACAGGGCTGAATGGAACTGATAAAGGCAGACTTTAGATCGCTTCTAGTATGGATTTCAATGTAAGATCACACCTACTGAACACTTGAAAAAGAAAATAAAATCCACAAAAGTACATTACTCAGCTGCACTCGCCTTCGACGTCTTGCTGAAAAGCCTTGGTGGAGCTCTTGGGTTCATCACGCCAACTGGTGTGGCTTGGAGAGCAAACTCACACCTGACTGGTCTATGCCAATTCCAAGAGCATGGAAACCAAGGCAAAGCTCCAGAAACCAGATCCCATTACAAATGCGTATTTTTTATCATTTTTTGCACCTCATTAACGTAGTTTCAGTAAAATTATAAACAACGATGAAGCAAAAATACTGCTGCTTGGCATAGATTCAATAGAAGCCGTTCTGAAGTTTGGACGAGACTGATCTCTGCCATTTTAAAGGCATTCCTGCTGCCTGAAAACGAGATGCCCGCAGGACTACCCAAACTAGTTTTAAATTTTACAGGGACAGAGACAAGTGAGCGGACAAACGCACTAAAAGGTGGGAGAGCACCAGCGGAATCTCACCTGGCCTGGCACCGCACTGAAACGCACACTCTCTGTCCCGGAGGGATCGCGATCTCGCTCCTGGTGGTCCCCGCTGGCTCCGCCTCGTCAGGACCGGCGCTGAGCTTTTCACACACCCTTCCCCCCGGCCCCTGGTCCAGGGCAGGCGGCCCTCCCCCTCCTTCGACCTCCTCCCGGGCTGCCCCCTCTCCACCACCTGGAGGGCCCGGGAGACGGAGAACCGGGTACGGGCACTGCCCTCCTCCGGAGATCGAGCACGGCGGCCTGAGCACCGAGCCCAGGTAGGGTCTGCGGAGGGGACCGTAGCCCCCGAGAAAGCCCTGGCGCTGGGGCAGATGTCCCATATGGACGGGGCCACTAGGGGGCGATGGAGTCTCCATCTCCTGGGGCACAGTTTCTTCTCTGGGGAAGCAGAGCGTGAACTGGCCCTCAGGGTCCCTGCCTGCGAACTCGCAGCCCTGAAGGTGCCGAGTCTCTGTGCCCTTATTCCTGAAAGACAGCGAGCGGTCAGAGGGAGAGGGGGAATAAAAGTAGAAAGAGGAGCAGCAACTAGGTGGTAACAGGAGAGATGGCGAGGAAAGCAGGAGCACGTAGCCAACATCGGAGTCACTCACTCTATCCAGACCTGCAGCGCCCTGCCCTGACCCAGAAGCAGCCTGCCGAAGTCCGTGTCGGTGCCGACCTCGAGATCCCCCTTGTTCAGCAGCAGGCTCTGGTTCTCCCACTCTGGAGCAGGCTGGACCGGGGACCTCGCACACGCGCTACAGGAAAAGCGGCCGTGTTAGACCGCTACACGGACATGACACAAAACGCACTCACTTTGGACAGCTGCAGGCCGTCTCGTTTTATGAACGTTAGAACAGTTACAAACAAGAGGAGGCTGTTCGTCCCATCAGGCAGTCAGTGGTCCGTCAACCCAAGGGTCTCCCCCGGCCACTCTCAAATCAGGGTATCGGCCTCAACAACATGGCTGGGCAGCATTTTTCATGCTATAATGGATGGCTTCAGAATTAACCGGGAAATAAGCGAAAAATGGTGTAGAGGGGCCGTTATGATGGGCTTATTACCTGCGGTCGCTAGGCGCCATGCACAGGGCCCTCCAGCAGTACATCGACTGGGAGCTCTCCACCACCACCACAGTGACCAGGTCGCCAGCGCCAGGCGTGTACTGGTCTGGCAACAGGAGGGAGTCCAAGGTGAAGAAAACCTTGTCGTCCACCACGCCAGTACGCCCATGAACACTGGACACGGACACCTGAGTGAGAGAGGGGCTAATAAACGCACTGCGGTATATTAGGACCGCACTGGCTACGATTACATGGGGGGAGGTGACAGAGAGAGGGACTTCAGGAGGAATCTGAAGCCTCGGATACTGAAGACAGACCATGGGGGGGGCGAGAGAAAAGAGGTACAGGGTGAGGACAGACAATTGTAGTTTATCAGGCACTCTAGACAGGCCACAGCTCATTCGTAACAGTTCATGCAAAGGGAGAAATGACGGGGAATGGGCAGAAAGAAGTACACGGACAGGAGCAGAGGGCAGACTGACCTGGTCTATCCGATGGTACCGCAGTGGGGCAACAGACTTGGCCTGACTTGCCCACTGGGTTTGGCTGACGAAGTACTGAGCTTGTACCCAATCTCCCTTCACGGGCTTGAACCCTGGGCACACGACAGGGACACCAGTCAGGCCCTACTGTACGGCACACTGAAACACGCCAGGCTTTACAAGCACAAGGCCCTGGCACATACATAGTGTAAGCCACCAGGTGCTGGATACAACACTTCATTAACATAATTACAAATACAACGGCAGACTGCAAGGACAAATGAATGGAACTGCTCTGCGACGGACCCCATCCATCCATTTTCTAATCCACTTTATCCAGAACGGGACTGCGAGGGAAGCCAGAGCTTCTGGGAGGGGTGTGCCAGGAGGGGACGCCAGTCCATCACAGGACACACACAGACCCAAACGCACACTCACACCAGGGGCAATTATCCCAGAAGCCCATTGACCCACCAGCCTGTCTTCGGAGTGCGGGAGGAAACCGGAGTGCCCGGAGGATAATAAATGGGTTATGTATCTGTGTGGTGCACATGTATAGAATATAAACACACGGCAAGACGGGTCTCACCATCGCACAGCGCCTGCTGGGGGAAGTAGGTAGTGTGATTGATGAACCCGCCCTCCCGCTCGCATGAGGTCACCATCCCAATCAGAGACTTGAGCGGACTGGTTTCGGAATCGACCGTCTTGCCCCCGGCCTCCTCCCAGGAGTCTGTGACCCGCTCCACCTGCGGGAGAAGAAAGACCGCTCGGGGCAGGCTGGCCGCGGATGGCGGTCAGCGAGGGCGTGTCGGACGCGCCCCCACCCCCCACTCACCTGCAGCGCCCTCCAGCCCCCCGCGGCGCGGTCTCTCACGGCGACGGCGCGCACCTGGTCCCCAGCGCCCACGGACAGGCCGCCCAGCACCTCGGCGGCCGTGAAGCACACGAGCTCGTCGATCAGGCCGTAGTCCTGGCACAGCCGCGTCACCACTCCGCTGTGGAGGTGCCGGATCTCCTCCACGCCTGCGGCACAGCAGACGAAAACATTTCGCTAAACTTGATCAAAGACAAAAACCGGCGGCGATACTACAGAAAGAGATTTACACGGCAAATTGATGTTTAATAAGAAAATAAATTAATTTACACTAATAAAAATTAAAAAAAGTGTTTGTTAGTCCTGTGGGGTGTTCGGAGCAAAATAATATAATAATAAGATTAATATTATTATTATAATATAATAATAAGAATATAATGTTTCAGAAAGAAAAATGCATCGCCGGATCTCTTCCACGCCTGCGGCACAGCAGATGAAAAGAAACACCCTTACACGAGGATGAGACACAGTCCTACGAAAAACCTCAATAACGTTAAAAACGGAACGTTATTGAGAGAAACGTTACATTAAAAAAAAAAAACAGACAGCTGAAACAGTAGAAAGGGGTGTGGGCCTCTAGGACCACGACTCTCCTACCATGTCCAAATGCATTTTACTTGCTTTCAGTATAGCATAACACTACTGCAGTCACCTTTACAACATTAAGAATTATAGTTTAACGTAATAGGAATGGCCATTTTAGGGACTTTTCCCAAAATGTTAAAAAAAAACTTTTCCCAAAGTTAAAAGCAAGTGAAGGTTTTGGAACATGTAAAACATTTTGACCCCTTCACGCAAGTTATTGGTGCATTTCTCCGACATCCCAGTTTTGCCGCACTTTTTAACAGACCCGTGGAACAGTGATCCTCATTCCTGGTCTTGGAGAGCTAGAAGGAATTTTGGTTTTCATTATACCTGCGCTCTTACTGTATTCATTGAATGGCATGCTGACTTGGAAGGTCCAAACCACATCTGCATCTTTGCTGAAGATGTCAAATTAGCCGCAAACACACCAAGTGTGAACCTCAGGAAGTTTTGCATCTACAACTTACCAGAAGTGATCAGTCCTTCCTCACCTTCCTCTTCCTCCGCCTTTCTCCACAGTGGGGCCAGCAGCTTGGCCACCAGGGACCTCGCTACTGTCACCATCTTAACACACTGCCTGCAACACAGGTCCTCAACACAATCACCAATATCCCACCTCCTACTACAACTTACATTTCCAAATATCACGCTCCTCAGATCTACAGAATAATACTTAAAACGCATACTGGATAGTCTTTGATTCAAACAAATGAAGCTTTTAAACACCAAGACAGTTAAAACGTTTTAGAGTTTAGTTTATGGAGGTATTAACTAATGGTAGTGTAAACGTTTCAAAATACAAAAAAAAAAAAGATCGTATTGAAGAAACGGTTTAGTTTGTTCATTTTCTTTATGGAACTAACGTAAACGATTTGATTATGCACTTAAATGACTACTTATTAAAAGCTAAAATGTTTTTTTTTGCGGTAGAAAATGTTACTTAAAGCAGCGTGGGAAAACTCTCGGGGAGCAACATCGTGTTTTGGCAAAACAAAGTATGTCTAACCAAGCCATTTTTCACGCCATCTTGATCATGACAATACCAAATACCACTATGTGAAGTCTCGTTAACCAGACACGAAATGGAACGGTTTTATCCGCAAATTAACCATCGTTTTTCCCAAGAGCAAACGCGTTTTTTAAACAACTGCGGGTCTCCGGTGTTGGAGAGGTGAACTGACCCCGGGTCCGGCTGGATTATGTGAAAACACAAACCTGAAGCGGGAAACACTCGGGTCAACGAGATCCCTGTGAGTTTAGCGAAACAGACAAATTTGCAAAACAGCCCTTTAATTACTTGCCCTGTCTTCTTACCAGTCGGAGGCGGCGTATCTTTATCTATATATGCCGGACACAAGCTTCTTCGCCTTCAACCTCCACGCACACTCGTGACCCCGCCGCTCAACCTACCTCAGGCCCACGGGGGGGAGCGGAGACTCCTGGGGGCTTAAAATAAAATAAGGTTTTAAGTTTAAAAGTAATAAAGAGCAATTACGTGGAGGTGCCAGCCTTCAGATGCTGGTGTTTCGTGTGCAGTGAAATAAGCACTGGTGGGCTCATACGAGTTTCAGAAAGAAAAATGCATCGCATGTCGCATTCGCTTTTGCTGCTAGCTCACGTTTTCTCGGGCGAATTTAAAGTTTTAATTGCGTTTAGGCGCTGTAATCAGTCCAGTGAATGAAATCCAGCGGACACATGACCTTTAGGCTAAAGAGGCGCCAAACGTCGTAATTTAATAAAACGCTTCGCATAGGTCTTTAGTTACCGGGCCACAGGCGGATTAAGCCCCGTCGACAACGGGAAAGTCTTGTGGTCGCAACTACGGTATTTGCACAAGTGGTATGAGAGATCATTTACGGCTTGCACCGACCCTGCAACAATGAAGTTAATTAATGGTTATTTTTGTATTAATTATTTAATTTATTACGATATCAAAATCTTAAAGCAAAATGACTATATATTAAAATCGCATAAGGTCTTCCATGTCTGTGTTATGAACTTCAAGTTAGGCCTCCGCAGGCTTTTTATTATTTAAACAACTTTGACTCTTTTAATACTTCTTAGTGAGAGAATACATTCCCATTTAAGCAGTCTTACCAATACTCTATCACAACTATTAGAGGAAAACAGAACAATAATGTCCAACATTTATTTTCTCTAGGTTGGACTACTTCCAACGGTCCACTCCTGGTCCCAGAGGGCCAGTGTGTCTACAGGTTTTCATTCCTAACCAGCTCTTAACAAGCTAAACTAGCTGGTTACTGGCTTAAGTGGAGCAATTGATCATATTCTCTCAGTTCTTCAGGTGCTGCTGATTTAAAGAGACCTTGAAAACCTACAGACACAGGGACAAGTGCATTGCTGTTTCAGTATGTTCAAAATTCAGGCGCTTAAAACTTAACCAGATCCAAGCCAAACCTGAATATCACTCCTGTTTGAGCTCTCCTGTAGTGGCTGTCAGTGTCATGTAGAATCAAGTTCAAAATCCTTCTCCTGACCTACAAAGCAGTAATCAGGCACTGTCCACCACACATCAAAGACTTGTTGAGCTATTAAGCATCATCTCAAGACTCTGCCCTTTACATTTTGACTTGCCATGCCCCCAACAAAAGACACTTTATATTGGGTGACAGGGCTTTCTACAGAAATGTGTCTAAATTGTGCTATATCTGAGTCTCAGCCTCTGTATATGTCTTCAAAACTCATTTAAGTTATTTTTTTCAGGCTAGCATTTATTTAGTTTAAATGCATATATACTGTTTTTTGTCTCAACACAATCCACTATGCAGCAGATGAGGCAGAGAAGTGAGAAACTGCTTCACCAATGGCATTAAGAATGAACTTTTGAAAGGACAGGTTGTGCAGTTGTACACTGGGATGAGTACCCCTTTTCTTACTAACAGTACCCTGGGAACTTGTGACCAAGTAATCAGGATCTTGGTTTAGTATTGCTCTTCTATTTCTGGTCTCCCATCTGTCCCCCAAGCCCGTCTACACTCTATGGGTGACAGGGCCTTCTCCTGTTATGTCCCCAAGCTCTGGAACTCTCTCCCCGAGGATATCAGAGAGTCACCTTCTCTAAACTCCTTCTAATCCAGACTCAAAACCTTCTTCTTTAGAAGAGCCTTTACTTAACTGGTTCTGTTATTTACCCCTCTGCTCCTACTGTATTTAGTACCACCATCTACTGTCAACTCTAACTGTAAAGCGCTTTGAGAAGCCACCTTTAAAATCGCTATTTACAATAAAGTTTATCATTATCACATCTGAAGGATGATACCCCCTACGTTGTACTATGTTTGGTCACCATACTGGGGCAGTGTTCTGGAAATTCTGAACCAGAGAGAAGATCGCCCCCTGCTGGTCTACAAACAGCTGTCACGATCCAAGAAACTGAAAATAAAAAGTATTAAACAGAAAATAATTACTTTCTTTCTGTAACCCTTTCAATCCTGAAAATAAATATCTGACATTTATTTATTGATTTCATATTTAGGCAACCACAAAATAATGTTACAAATTAATGGTTGGGAACTTAATTCCTTCTACACTAATTGAGCACATAATCCATCCATCCATTTTCTAATTGCTTTATCCAATACAGGGTCGCGGAGGAGACGGAGTCTAGCCTGGCAAGCAACAGGTGCAAGACAGGGTACACCACGGTACGCCTGTCTCTCACAGTTGCACACACCAGGCCAATATTCCCAGAAGACACTCAACCTACAGTTAATACAGTTTCCTCTATAGACT